CAAGAACTTTTCTCACTGGAAAATGGTTAAAGGCGTTGATCGGCAAGAGATAAAGTGTACATGCCTTCCTGAAGAGCGAGGGTAACAAGTCTCCGGGTAGGCAACAAAGTCATGCAAAATGTACCCAACGTTACTACTACGTCAAGGGCGCAAACGCTTTGTAGTTTTTGAAAATCGGTCCAGTAGCTGCAGAGAAAAAAACCAAAAACAAAATCGCTGAAACAAAATTTAGAGTTGAAAAACGTAGCTCAATTTCTCGATGTAGATTTATGCGCTCCCAACCTTGGTAATTATTTGCATCTATTAGACATATTTTACACATTATAAATATCTCCGTAGATTAGTCCTTAACACTTACATCCTCAGCGTATCTACCGGGCGCGTCTGCTGCTTCTAGGTTGTCCTGGCATGGTATTACACGGCATCAATCAATCATTAATTTCAACTCACTTCCTTGAGACCATCAATAATTACCGGCACGAAAATTTAGGGTAGCGCCTAAACAATATTTGTACGATATACACATGTAAATCATTAGCGTATCAGAACAGACTAACACACAGGATAATAAGATTATAATATAAAGGTTTATTTATTTTATTTATCTATTTCAGATCTTTAATTTTAAAATCTTCCAGTATAGGACATCTATATAAGGTTAGGTGTAAGAGTAGCTTTAAGCTAAATCTCGCTTTTGTATGTAATGGTAATAAAGACAGTTATTATTATTAATACTATTATCACAAATTGTTTGACTGATATTCTCAGAGGATCCAGTTTGTGCTGAACACATCCTTCATGAGCTAATAACGGCGAGAGAAATGCAGAGTCAACCTACTTGACGCCATTTATCTCTTGGTATATATATTTGTAGATAGGACTTGAACGCATAAAATGGGTACTAAAATTTTTGTGGGAAAACTTTTTATTCGACAACAAAGAAATGAGAAACGCGTTTTTTGCGATTCACTCGAAAGTGCTGGCAGGAACGAAAAAACTATAAGATTTTTAAGTATTTATGAGACCTACAAAATGAAGCTACACGTGAAAAGATCCGACTGATAGCAAAAAAGCTATGGCCGAAAACCGAGGCAAACTGCAGGTTTGGCACTTGCTGGTAATGCGATTATGGTTTCTCGCAAATATTTGAAATTCTTCAAATTCGTAGGATTCGTACTTAAAATAACCACAACAAAATTGGGGTAGATTGGTCAAGTAGTTTTTGAGAATTTCTAATTGTTTATCCCAAGTCACCTGTTTTCCGGCCATCACTACTAGTTTATTGAGCAATATACAGGGTGAGTAAAAAGGGTATTTTATAGCAAAATACGCTAGGGTTACGTTTTTTCTCCTAAACAAATTCAAACAATTCGTATTTGTGAGTAATTCGCAACAAAAGATGATAGGCACATCCGTTTTGCTTCAAAATGTATATAGTAACGTATGTTTTTCGAATATCGTTGCGCATTTGTTCAGTTACAAATACGAAATATTTGAATTTGCATTTTGAAAGAAAAAAGTAACCCTTTTTCGCATAAAAATAACATACAGTGCGAGTCTTCACAAAGTGCACATATCAAAATCAGGGAAACTACACTCTATTTCATCGACGGATAAATCATCAAAAAAACATGAATTTGATTTTTTATGAATATATGAATATTTTAAAATTTTTAGTAGCAGCTTCTAACCAGATTGAAATAACTCGTTGCAACATTTAAACTAAATGTCCCATCATATTGGAATACATTTTGTAGTGATTGCTGGTAAAAGGACGTGCCTGAAAAGTGAAGAATTCCAGGAAAAGTAATGACATTGCCGATATCCATTATTATTATGGAATGTACCGAGGGAGTGCTAGAGCAGCTTGTACAGCTTATTTAGCTGCATTTCCAAATCGACGCCCTGTTCCATCAGCCCGTAACTTCCAAGAAGTACATAGAAGACTGACTAACACTGGACTTGGTTTGCCTCGAGATCGCCGCGAACCAGGTGTTATTATTCATGTTGCTATCGAAGAAGCCATTTTGGATGATTTGTTTGCTGACCCGACTACTAGTACGAGACGTTTGGCGTTACGTCATGGCGTATCCCAGAAATCGGTTTGGCGCATCTTGAGGAAAGCAGGGTTGCATCCATACCATTATGAAAGGGTGCAGCACTTGCATGAAGATGTGGACTGGCTTCCAAGGTGCGTTATGTCTACATGGATTTTAATAAAAACAAGAGACAATCCTGAATTCCCGAAAACAATTCTGTGGACAGATGAATCTCAATTCACGAGAGACGGCATCGTGAACTGTCGTAATTTACATAAGTGGTGCCCAAAAGATGAAAACCCTAGGCTGAAAAGGCCTCCAACATTTCAAGTGAAATTTTCTGTAAATGTGTGGGCCGCACTGATTGACAACTTTTTGATTGGTCCAATAATACTCCCGAGGACATTAAACGGAGAGAGATTTCTGGAGCTTTTGCGGACTGAACTGCCCTTGCTGTTGGAAGAAGTGCCGCTGCAAACCCGTCGAAGAATGATGCTTCAAATGGATGGATGTCCTGCCCATTACTCGCTGATTGTCAGGTGTTTTCTTAATGAAAATCATCCAGGCCGCTGGATCGGTCGACAAGGACCTGTTGGGTGGCCGGCGCGTTCCCCAGATCTCACACCTCTCGACTATTTTTTATGGGGGACAATGAAACAAAGGGTGTACAGCAGTTCCATAAACAGCGAAGCGGAACTTGAAGAAAGAGTTTTGCGTGTTGCAAACGAAATCAAAAATGATCCCGAGATGATTCGTAGGGCAACTCATCAAATTTCACTTCGCGCTACAATGTGTTTGCAGCAACGGGGTGGTCATTTTGAACATTTGATGCATTAAGCCAAAATGATTATCCTATAGACAAGTCTATTTGATTTTATTTGTTAAAGATAATGAATGATTCATGTAGGTTAATACTGTTGTTTTATTCCTACTCTGGCGTTGAACTGAGTTCACTGCTTTTTGAAACGCTGATTTAAAAACTTGTATCTAAGTAATAAACTTGCAATTTTTCACCATTAGGAAGCTAATAACATGTAGAATAACTTAACATTCAAAAAAGGTAGGATAAATAGGTCAATTTTTATTGAAATTTAGCAATTGTTTTAAAAATCATTGAAAAAATAGTGAGTTTCAGCATATTCCTCTTTATTTTAAATTTATAGCATTTAATTACGTGGAAATTTTCACTTTACTGGTTCGGCCTATTATTTGCAATCACTACAAAATTTATTCCAATATGATAGGACATTCAGTTTAAAAGTTGTAACGATTTATTTAAATAGGGTTAGCAGCTGACTAAAAATTTTAAAATATTCATAAAAAATCAATTATTGTTTTTATTTTTTTTTTGATAATTTTTCCGTCAATAAAATAAGGTGTAGTTTCCTTGATTTTGCTATGTGCACTGTATAGCTTTCGGAATGGTTTGTGATTGATATCGGCAAGGTAAACACGTGTATTTTGCTATTAAATGCTCTTTGAAGGAACCCTGTATATTGCTCAATAAACTAGTAGTGATGACCGGAAAACAGGTGTTTTGGGATGACAAATTATAAATTCTCAAAAAACTACTTGACCAATATACTCCACTCTACTAACTATTTAGAAGTATGAATCCTACGGATTTAAAGAATTTCAAGTAGTTGCGTGAAATTATCGTTGCATTACCAACACGTGCCACAACCTGCATTTTGCCTGGTTTTTCGGCCATGACATCTTTGCTATTGGTCGAATCTTTTCATTCTGTAGGTCTCATAGATACCTAAAAATCTTATATAAACAGTTTTTCGTTTCCTGTCAACACTATCGATTGAATCCCAAAAGACACGTTTTCTCATTCTTTGTTGTCAAATAAAAAGTTTTCCCACAAAAATTGGTGCACCCATTTTATGCCTCCATCTTTTAAATAACCCCTTGAGTAACTTGCACCAATAAAACCAGACTTAAAGTATCCCCCAAACCGACGCGAATATTTCGCAGCGACTGCGGTTAATTCGCGACGACATTGTCGCACAGGGACTCTTCTCGTAGAAGCAAATGAACAAGAACAGACCTGTGCGTTCAATTTCGGTCACAGCGGTGCGACAGTGCAGCGTCTAAATTTAATTCGCTGTTTGCACGATTTTTATCGCTGTCGCAATGGCAAACACTGAAAAACTTCTGGAAATAATTAAAGAATTTCCAATTCTCTATGACTTGAACAACGAGGACTACAAAAATGTTCGATAAAAAGACAAAATCTGGGATGAGATAGGAGTGGAATTGAATGACACCGGTAAGTTACTCTTTACTGAGAGATTATTATAAATACGTTTATTATTTATGAATGGCTTAGCTAAGCTGATCTTGACCAACAATATTAGGAGTTGAAGTAGTCAACAAATTTTTCTCGTGTAGAAAATGCCAGATTCGTTGCACGTCTTGGATCATTTTCGATGTTGGTAAAGGCTTGTGATGGATCTGGATCTTCATCTAGAAGGTGTATATACTGTGTGTCACATTACCTACTGCATAAAAAATTTTGCAGAACGCATGTAGTTTTTACTATTAAAATTGTAGTATCTGTTTTCTTTTCCATGGGTCTATAAAAAATTCTCCACTTTTGACTTCCCAATCCCAATCCCAAAAGCATTTTCCACTACTCTCCGTGCCCAGTATTGTATTTTTCTTTTCTAGCGTCTGCTTTCTACTGTCTATATGGAAACTGTCTCATTAGGTAGGGTTTAAGGGCAAATCCTTCATCTCCAATCAAAACATGAGGGCACACCGTTTACTGCCAATCCACTGCGATCTTTTCGCTTCGATATGAAAGTCCCTCAGATGTTCGCAGCAAATTTCGCGAGAATTATATCGCCACGAATATCGCAGCGGATTAATCGCGTTGGTTTGGGGGATCCTTTACAGTTATTTCGGGGCAATTTGCTAATACGATTAGACTATTAACGCGATTGTTTGTTTCAGGCCTCATCGTAACGATGGACTGGGAATGGGCATACGCCGGCGTGAACACCACAGTGCCACGGAACGCAGGTCCCGAATGCGCGGACTTCCTGAACCGTCGCTGGAGGTACGTGGACACCTTCTTCGTACTCCTCCTAACCTGGCAGCTGTTCAAATGGGGATGGGCACGCATCCGTCTGCCCATGGCCGCTGGCTACGTGAGAAGGGACAGAGGAGGTCGCCGGGCTCTCCTGGTGCTCATGTCTGTGGTGTGGGGCATGGAGATCGGATACAAGTTCTCCTCCAGGACTGTGATATACTTGTTGAATCCGTGTCACGTTACGACGGCAATACAGGTAGGCAGCAGGAGTATTCCGGAATAAAACGGCAGTTTCTCTGTAGTATAAAATGTAACCTACGGAGATGCAGTGCCGAATATATTACAATTGTAGGACGCCTTTATGTCCTCCTTGATTTTCATAGTGGTTTCTCTCCTTCAGAAAGGCAGGGGTATTTCTAGATTTCTACTGTTCCGTGTCAGGGTCAGCGCTCATCTATTCTGAGGCTACGTTTTCTTTTTGAGTTGTAGGAAGTTTCAGGCTGATATAACCGATGATATAAATCAAAATGATGAACAATTTGATGCAAATAGATATTTGTCACTTAACCTCAAAATAGGAACAGTAGGAAATTATGAAAATCAAGGAGGCTATAATTGTAGACACGACTGACGATATGCCCCTAAGGCCCCTATTGATCCGCTGGAATCAAATTTTGTACCGTTGGCGTTTTTGAACTGATGTATCTAAGGAATGGTTGCTTGTAAAATATTTCTCAAACGAGACAAAAATTATACGATCTGTGATAAGATGGGCACCTTGGTGAGCCCCTAATATTAAATCAAAGAATCCGTCATAAACCACCTATTTTAGTTTCAAACACCATTTTTTATTTGACCTCTGGCCTAGGTCAAAATTCGACCAATCGAAAACAAGTAAAACCTTGTAAATAATATAATCAAATTAAATGGAAACATAAATACATGGGAAAGTTGAAACGAATTATATATATATATATACATATATAGAAGGCCGAAAACTCGTGCTAAATTTATTACACCATTTACGGAAAGAAAGTGAAAACAATGGTCTCCTGTTACCCACTTTATGCGTACTGGAGAGAGTAGCAGATGCGCAGTGTTCCGCACATAGTAAGAAGACTCGATCTGTTTACTTATTTCGTATGACGTTGATGACGTAACCGCCAAGAACGGTGACTACAACTATATCAATCAAATCATCTCGTTGATTTAAGAGAAACGGTGGACTGAATGCTGATTATTTATCAAAAATTGAGTAAATATTCAATTTACTTGCAAAGTAATCTTCCTTTATAACTGTCCATATGTTTGACAAGTGTTTAGAGCCAATTTTTCTGGCTTGTCGGAATATCGTTTATGATACCGCTTGCGTTCTCTACTGAACGGAAAAGTTTTTGCCCGTAGACACTCGGTATGAATGCTATACAATATATTAACAAAGTAACATACAGGGTGGCGCATCGAAAACGAAACAGACGCATTTACTGGCAGTTAATTTTTTTTTTCAAAACTCTCAGACCCGTCGATTTTGTTTCCGAGGGGGACACAAGTTTGGCAAAAAATCACGTTGGCACGTGCAGCCCCCTAAGAGGGGGTAACACCACCCCCAAAATCTTAAATGGAAAGGGGGGTCGAGTGATACCTTATTTCAAAGGTCTTTCAATTCCCTTTATTATGATATGAAATTAATGTACTTCAGTTCAGTAGTTTTGAACATTTATTGATTTAAAGCTTAAATAAAACTAATACATCATCATTAGTGGAGATCAATACATTTGGCAGCAAAGTAATTTAAAAATGAAGAATGAACTGACCCGTTAGGCAAGTAAATTTTGAAAATGGCCACCATGACTCTCCATGCAATAATAAATATTTTGCTCAAAATGTTGCCGCACATTTTGCAATATTTGAGAAGTAATTTGAAGGTACTCATTCACAATTCTTTGTCGCAGGTCTTCTAATGATGTTGGCTGAGTAGCATAGATTTTGCTTTCTAAATGACCCCACATAAAGAAATCCAAAGGTGATAAGTCTGGCGATCTTGGGGGCCATTCAATGCCACCTCTTCTACCAATCCATCGATCTGGAAACGTCTGATCTAAATATTGTCGAACACGTAATGCGTAATCTGGGTGGGGCACTATCCTGTTGGAACATCAACCTATTCGCAATGTACCGCCGATCATTCTGATTTTCAATTATGACTGTTAATGCAGGATCTATGGCATCTTCCAGTAATTCCAAATACATTTCACCGGTTAGAGATGGGATTAATGAGTTGCGATTCTGAAATGAAAATCGAGAAGTGATTTAATAAATACAATCGGTCGGTGAAACCGTTACAAGTCCAAACATTTAATTTTTGTGGCTGATGTGTTTAAACCTCATGATAAATTATGGGATTAGAATCGGACCAATATCGGCAGTTATGACGATTTACTACGCCATTTAAGTGAAAGGAACATTCGTCGGGAAAGCAAGTATTGAATAGAAAATGTTTATAATTCGTTCACACATATCTTCAAAAAATTGTAATCGCCGATCAAAATCGTCTTCATTAAGTTCTTGTACCAGGTGAATTTTATATGGATGAAAACGATGGGCCTTTAGAATGCGTTGGACAGTACGTCGACTATCACCACACACAGCCTCCAATTTGCGGGTACTTAACGTAGGATCTACATAAACTTGCCGTAAAACCCCCACTTCTATTGCTTCGTTCCTTATGGGATTTTCAATGTTGCGTTTTTTATTGGCGACTGAGCCACTTTCCCGAAATTTAGCTACAAGTTCTAGATCATACTTTCGATGCACGTTACTGTTCTCATGTCGCTCATTAAATATTTCTGCTATTCTATTAGCGCACTGATTATTTCCGAAAAATATTTCGATAATTTCGACTCTTTCAGCTGTGGAATATACCATGGTTAATGTATGTAATAAAGCGTTACAAGTTATTTTAGCAACAAAGTTTGGTCAGATCAATCGCAAACTATGTACTAAATTCCTATTTGAAATAAGTATTTAAAGTAGTACAATCTAATCTGATGTACCTATTAAAGTCTCCTTTAAGCTTTAAATCAATAAATCTTCAAAACTACTGAACTGAAGCTCATGTATTTTACATCATTATAAAGGGAATTGAAATACCTTTAAAATAAGGTATCACTCGACCCCCCTTTCCATTTAAGATTTTAGGGTTGGTGTCACCCCCGCCCAGGGGGCTGCACGTGTTAACGTGATTTTTTGCCAAACTTGTGTCCCCCTCGAAAACAAAATCGACGGATCTGAGCGTTTTTTCCAAAAAAAAAACTGAGCTGCCAGTAAATGCGACTGTTTCATTTTCGATGCGCCACCCTGTATGTACATACATTAAATGCGTACCTTTATTAAAACTAAGTTAATTGAAAATATTTATGCTATAAATAAATATCGCCCAGACAAATCAATGGACATGATGAACCGTTCAAAATATGTATTTCATTCAAAATTATCTCTGTCAGAGTAGAGACACTGCTATTTTAAATAAAATACATCGTAGTTGACGTCATGTGAATCTAGGCATTCATTGGAGGATCCTTGGGGGTGTTCTGGTGACCGGACCCTCTCTAAGTATGCGAGAGAAAAAAATTGCTACGTATTTTTCAATTCGCAGATACTCCCTCGAGACTGGCATGTCATACATCCTGAGCCCGCACCCCTTCCCCCAACCCCTCAGAAAAAATCAAATTTCTCAGATGGATCCTCTTCCAAAATATTTTCTAGATCTGCCCCTGTAGAAATATTTCTTATTGATTGGTCGAATTTTCGACTAGGTCGCAAACCTTTCTTTTTGATAAGTCGAATTTGTGCCCTGGTCGCAAATTTTGTGCCCGGGATTAAACGAAAGAATCGGGTTTTGTAGCTGAACCTGGTGGTATATGAAGCATTTCTTGATTTAATATGAAAATTTAGGGAACATCTTACACAAATTGTATGATAATTCTCTAGTTTCAAAAATATTTTACAAGACACCGGCTATGAATCATAGCACATGATGCTTTCATCCGTCCGACCAAAAAGACAGGCAACCATGGGCAGATGTTTCGTGCGTATCGGCCACTCATCAGTATGGCTCTGCCTCTTGTCTCTAGACAAACGAACGAAGGCTTCTTAACTTTCCTCTATACTGTAGGTACGCTTTACCGGAATAAAAATAGTTTATCCCATGGCAAGAAGACCACATCTACTTTACAGCCAGAATCGTCAGTGCTTTAGCGGTCACGAGGCGACTGGGCTATTAAACGCGATCCCAGCAGTTCCAACTAGTAGCAGCTATGCGCTTTACGCAGTGGTCGATTCTGGTGTGATAGATGGCGCGTTGCACTGTCTTATTATTTTCATTAGCTTGCCCAAAAACTAAAACTTTATGTTTTGTGTGTCATTTACTCGTGTGTATCCGAGCTCGAACCAGTTTGCATCTAGCCGCCTATGCGATCTGGTGTAGTGCCGGAATAGATATTATGATTAAATGACACAGCTTTTGAGTTAAGTAATAAAAATAAGTTCAAGAAACGATATATAGATGGAATCAGAATAAAGCACCGAAAATATGCAGAATGTTCTATTTAAAAAAAATCAACTTCATACGATAGCACTTTTCTGAGACACCCGGTAGACAAAAACAATATCACATGAAAACTCCATACTAAATCCTGTAACTTTTATACACGGTTCATGTGATTTTCCCCGTTGGTCAAAGCATATACAGGGTGTCCAGAAAAAAGTGTGCAATATTCTACTAGCGGTTTCTAGAGCTTAAAATAATCCGCAAATAAGCATACGAAATGTTTCGGAAATTATGGATATACCTCAATCAATAGTAAGAGAAATTTATGAATACCTATTTGATAGTTATCCTAAAAATAATAATTTTAGATAGGAAGAATGGCAAGAATGCAAGGATTACATCCTTATCATTTTAAACGCGTGCAGCATTTAACGGAGGCAGATTTTTTACCACGAATCGAGTTTTGCCAGTGGATATTAGCAATAGCAATTAGTCAATATTTACTAGGAATGGTGCTTTTAATTTCCATAACATGCATCACTGGTCAGATGAAAATCCAAAAGTTGTTCGCCGTACAAATTTCTAACATAGATTTTCATTGAATTTATGGGCAGGAGTAATTGGGGATCAAGTAATTGGGCCTATTGTACTTCCCAATCATCTTAATTCAGAGGTGTATCTGAACTTTCTTCAGAATGACCTCATGGATATAATACCATTGGATGTGCGCCAGCAGTTTCAAGAAAATATGTTTCCTCAACATGATGGCGCCCCTGCACATTTTGGACGCAATGTTCGAAATTGGTTGAATGTCAATTTTCCAGACAGCTGGTTAGGCCGAGGAGGTCCTATAGCGTGGCCGCCACGTTCACCTGACCTAAATCCATTGGATTTCTATTTTTGGGGGTCATTAAAAGACCTAGTTTACTCGACTGAAGTAAATACTCAAGAAGATTTACTTCAAAGAATCCATCAGCCTGCAAATGAAATAAGAAAAAGGTTTTCCACTTTTCGGGCTATGTAATCATTAGTTCGTCGAGCGGGATTCTGTATCCAACAAAATGCGAATGTATTTGAACACTTATTGTAAAGCTAGTTTTAAGTATCTCCAACTGTATGTCTTCTTTTTTAAACAAATTTCAATTTCGTTCGTAGAAAAAATTTATGTTGCAAAAGAAATATGTATTTGTGTAATAGTTACCAATTATTAAATTAGTTTTTTCGTTGCCATGACTAATTATATAAATTCGCAGTACATTTCCTATCAGGTGACAAGGTTTTTAGTTTGATTTTATTCAAAAATGGCACAATTTATCGATATTCAATAAGAGCACCTTTTTTGTGTAGAAAACCCTAAATTTTCAAATTCTAAAATTGAATTTCAAAAATAGAATCACACAAAAATTTTGGAGCTAAAATAACCTGAGTCCGTCTCTGTTACATACGCTTCCAAACAAGACTGTCTAAAATTGTTAATATTTTTAAATCCAGCATAAATAACTAGGCTAGAATATTTTATGTCTTTATCTCAACACGTTTCGGAAATGTTAAGGAAAAGCCATATTCAGGGGAACCCCTTTAAAAGACCGTAGCGCCCTTAGGGGATGCTTGTCGACCTATGTTTATATAACCTTTTCTTCCTATTTTAAGCTCTAGAAACCGCTGGTAAAATATTGCACACTTTTTTGGGGACACCCTGTATAATGATGTGAGCTTGCTGTTTCTCCTTCTTTTTTGAGAAAATGTAGATAGTGTTGATGGTGTTTCGCTGTTTGTTTATCTCTCAGCCCTAATTTCAAACACCGTTTGCAAGCTAACTTGGTTGAAGCGATACGGAAATAATGAAAGCGGCAAAATGTTTTCTAATTTAACTTTCACGCAGAATAGTTATGAAATGGTTCTTTCAATTTCAGATATATTTATTAGCAGCTTCGCCAAGCAGAGCGGTGACTGCTGTTTTCCGTTTTCATTTGAATCTTCTCAACGGACCACTGTTAGCTTTCCTTTTCCCTGAGACAGACACCAGACTCGTAAGTATCCATTTGTATTCTCTTCCCTCGCAGTCTTCGTAAATTGAAAGCCATAATTCAATTCTGTCTTCTCCTTACATCTACCTCTATTCCCTTCCAGAATATAAATATTTGTGTAACTGATGTAGCTTTAGGTCAGATCGACAAGGGATGACATTCTGTAAACTTGAAACGTTTCATTTATTTGTGTCATTTCAAACATTTTCCAACTTTAGATAACAAACAATATTATGCTTGCTTGCTACGTTACGTGAATGATTTTGATCAAAACTGATATGTTGTGAGATCATGGTAGGTAGTACTCATTTTCGAATACTACATAGGACTATACTTTTCTGAATGTGTACAGGGGAAAGGAGATATTTAATTTGGACGTCATTTCTAAGGAACATCAGCTTTATATAATATGAGGATGTCGTTTGTCATTTTGAATAATATTAAATGATATCAAATAGAAGTTCCGTGTTCCGTGATGAACAACACATTTGATGAACATTTTTTATTGCAAGTGTTAGAGATTCTGATAGTCTGTGTCCGACCTAAAAGGCAATATCTCAATATGCAAAAAATCGTTATTTTTATACTTTTAGGCTAGAATATCTCGAAAAGTACAGCCATGTGGGACATTTTTCTTACAGTTTATGATTCAGCGCCTAGAAACCTTCAGAAAAATATACTCTGCCTTCTGGGCAAAATAAAGAACAAAACAGTTTTGATAGTTCTCAATCCCCCTGATAACACTGGACAACAAATTTTAGTTTTTTAATTGTATCTTGTGGGAAAAGTGCACTTCTTTGTTAATTTTGGGGCGCTGAATCCAAAAATGACAATGAAATAAAAAAATTAGTTGCGGTTTAGAAAAAAAACTTCTTATTTTTAAGGATATATTAAAAAAAGTAACAAGATTCATATATACGTACTTATAAGAATCACTATATGCGCTGTCTTTTTGCTGTTCTTTTATGGATCGTTTCTGAAGCATCTCTACCAAGAGTCCAACAGTAGTCTGCAAGCATGGAAGGATTCCACTTTCCCTGGTACCTTTTTTCCATGGTTGAAATATCCTGATGAAAACGTTCGCCGTGCTCATCACTTACGGCTCCGCAATTGTCAGGAAAAAAGTCCAGGTGTGAGTGTAGGAAATGTATCTTAAGAGACATATTACAGCCCATCTTTTGATACGATGACAGCATATTTTTGACAAGGGCTTTATAGTTGTCAGCTTTTCTATTTCCCAAGAAATTAGTGACCACCAGACGGAAATCATTCCAAGCAGTTTTTTCAATACCTGTTAAGGTGTTTTCAAACTGTGTATCTTTCAAAATATTTCGAATCTGTGGCCCAACAAAAATACCTTCTTTAACCTTTGCCTCACTTAGTCTTGGAAATTTCTGACGCAGGTATTGAAAAGCTGACCCGTCTCTAACTAATGCCTTGACAAAGTTTTTCATTAGGCCCAACTTGATATGCAGTGGTGGTAGTAAATTTTTTTTCGAATCTACTAATGGCATATGCTGTACATTCTTTTGACCTGGCTCTAGGAATTGACGAACAGCCAAGTTTTGTCTGATGTAATGAATTGCCTTTGCCCGACTGTCCCATTCACACAAAAAACAGCAAAACTTTGTATAGCCTAGCTGCAGCCCAAGTAAAAGTGCAACAACTTTCAAATCGCCACAAATATGCCATTGGTGCTCATCGTATTTTATGCATGTCAATAGGTACTTCATATTGTCATATTATTCTTTCATGTGAACTGCATACCCTACAGGAAAAGATGGTAAAATATTTCCAATATGCAATAACACTGCCTTTAAACTCAATGTTGAACTGTCTATAAACACTCTACATTCTTCTGGGTTATAGTTTATATTTAAAGCCGCCAGTAAGCCGTTAATGTTACTGCAGAAAACCAAGTTATTCTCCATATTGAAAAATGGTTCTAAGTCTTTGTGGCGTTTACGAAAAACACATACCGAAACATCGTCTTCTAACAAGTTCCACTGCTGCAGTCTTGATCCAAGTAACTCTGCCTTACATTTTGGAAGTTCTAAATCTCTTACAAGATCATTTAATTCTGACTGTGTTATTTTGTGCGGTTGGTGGCATGACGTGCTCGGTATAAAATCAGGATCTCTTGACGTTGATGGCATATCTTCTTCCTGACGAATCACTCGATCGCCATGATCTGATTCGTTTTCTGATTCGCAAGTGTAGGATTTTGGGGGTTTTGGAATAGGATTTTCGTCACTGTGAGGCACAGGTCTCATCGCAGATGGTATGTTTGGGTAGTTACTAACCGATTTTTCTTTCTTGGACATACCTGTGGCTTGTCCAACACAAGGTACCATGCAAAAGTAACAATCATTAATATGATTTGTAGGCTCTCTCCAAACCATTGGAACAGCAAAGCGCATAGACCGTTTTTTGCCATTTAACCAGCTCCTCAGACTTGAAGCACATGTATTACAGCAGATGTAGGGTGCCCACTGTTTGTCTTGATCACCTAGTTTACAACGGAAATAAAGCTGATATGCCTTTGTTATTAGTGGAGTAATATGCGTCTCTGAGACGCAAAAGTCACATCACCACACACGTAACAAAACTGATCTGGATTGTTTACACACTTTCGAGGCATCTTGCATGAACGCTATCAGCCAACTGAGGAAAAAATGGCTAATATAAAACAATATAATGTACACGTATGTATAACGTAACAGAATCATGCCGATTACATCATTTTTCCTTGCCGAATATAAAAATGTATCACGTGCATTCTTGTGAATTACAGTATATTAACACTGTCACAGCAGGAACACATATAATTACCGTTTCTCTAAAACTTGAACTAATATTGAAAAAATAAGTTTCATTCCGGTTTTAGCACATTAAAAATAGTAATATTTTGTTGATTTTATTTAGGATATTTTTTGGCTGTTGATCAGTGTAACTGTTAGACAAAAGCTTGATCATTTGTGAAGTTAGGAAAATTGCTTAGCGGTCTCAAAACTCAAATAAAGACGGCTAATAGAGGATTAGCCGTATTCACTTGCGAATTATGAAATAAAAGTCAGACCCAATAATGATTGCTGTTTCTAGAAGCGATAAATCACCTCTGGCAATGTATCATCTGAGCTATAGGAGGCTGGGGAATACCAACAATTAGATACTTTCAAAGAAATCTTTACCTGCATCCTAATTCTGGAATCATCAGAAACGGCAAACGTTTTTAATTGAGTAGCTATGATCATCGGTGTAACATGAATATTCTGGAGGCAACGGATATTACATTTGTTTTGAGAGAAGTGATATCTGGAAAGAAAACATCTTGATCTCATCAATTCTTAGAATTATAGCATTTTACATCAGTATTGTCTACTTCATTGTGAACTGGAATTCTGGAAGCTTCTCAGTTTGCCTTTTTCTTATCAAATGCAGCAGAACAGTAAACATATTCGTACATACGCGTTATATATCAGGCATTTATTTTTCAGCTACCCCTGGAGTCTGCAATATATTGGATCCAACACGGAATGATGTTCGTTGTGCCTTACTATTTACTACGACTTGGAGGTAAGGAGTGTCAAACATTCAATTTTTATTAGCTGACAATTCCGCTTTGATAATAAACCAAACCGTGTATTCTCCCGCGTAAAGCATTAAACGCTAATCGACTTGGGGACTGGGTTTTCCAAATAACTTCTATTTTCATAAGGTTTTCAAGCACCTTTTCGTGGGTGATTTTCTAACTTAATACATACAGAAATTAACTCACAACCTGTAAGTTTTCACCTAGTCAATTAGCTTCTAGGGCCCTATGCGTGAAAGTACACTGTCAGCTTAGTATCAAAATTGCCCGTTTTGAAGTTTCGTGACTTCAATACTCTGTGAACTCCTAAATCCTGCATCACTTCATAGTTCAGCATATACTTTAATTCATCTTTTAGAACAGGTTTTTTTCATGTTCTGTGAAATATGGCTGAACGTTAGTATATAGAAAAGCTAGAACTTGATAATTTCATAAGAAATATATTATTCTAGTAGTAGTATATATAGAGATATACTTTGTACTTTTTCAGGTGTATATAATGTAGAAGAATTCTCAGACCTCAGCTGGAGCGCTGTTAGCTATAGTATTAACTTAGCCTACCATTTTGTTATATTACAAGGTGTTGGGATAGTAAGTATTAAACTGTATACTTGTGTTGTTAGACCAGATTATTTCTCCTTTATTACTTATCGTATTATTTTATATTAAATATTTTTTTTTTATTCTTGAACCACCACGAAGGCCTAAACACACCCATGGGGACCGCGGGGCTATACGGGGATATAGGGGAAAACCACACGGACTCTAGCGAGGGAACACGTAGGCAAGCAGCATGCGCAGATCCTCGCCCCGCGTTAGAGATCCGCCGGGTGGTACCTCCGCGTCCGACAGTCAAAGACCGTCTACCACCTACGGACAATCACATCCATAGCCAAGAGACAAAAATTCTCTTGAGACGGGATTCGAACCCGCGCAGCGCACGATGTCTGATTAGTACACCCATAACGACTACCATCACGTCATCGCTGCTTCCTCTGATGAGCTGAATTAAAAATTACTTCCACTATGCGAAAGAAGATGTAGCACATAAAATTACGACCCTTCAGCTCAAACTAAGTTTCCAAAATTCTGAAGTAATCTTCCTGACTTGCTTTCTGTCTTTTTTCCTTCTTTTCTTTATTCTGACTTTGGTATCTGTACAACCAGACCTAATAATCGACAAAACTTTAACTATGACCTACAGATCGCACTCAGATGAGAATAGGCAACAAAACTGATTTCTCAGAGCTAATCTCCAGACCACTTAAAAAATATCTCCAATAACTTTCGTCACATCAAATAAACTGCATCTCTGACTTTTGTATTGCTGTTTTGTCTCGTAGGGCATAAGGTAGGTAGTTTATCAACCCATAAATGTCCCTTTTACCACTTTACAAACGTTTAACTTAAATTGAATCGCTATAAAACAAAGTAACCAATTTCCAAATATTACCGTATAAACCGTATAAGGTCTTTATCTTGTGAACTGTGGCCGGTACGTAATTAAATAGAGTGCTGTGCTGCAGTAACAAAAATAAACGATCTTAATTAACCGAAGAAGAAAGACAGCGCAAAGTACCAGAATCTACCACTGCGACGGTAAAACCACAAGCTTTCTGTTAAAACTACATCCCAATGTGGCCGCTAGATGTCGTCTCTGGCGGTATAGTAGATACGGTCTACTCGCGATTGAAAAAACTAGCAATATACCTGAGACCAAGCTGACACCATACTGATGAGTTGAGTAATAGCACGAAACAGCGGAGGGAGTATTCGAACTGCAGCCCTGCGCATTTTCATATAACGATCACGGTTCACGAGATAATTCTCCTATGACAAACTTTGGTATTACGAATACCAGATTCCTACATTAACGGATCATCTGTTTTAGCCAACGCAAGTGAATCTGAACCACATGCTTTGCCCAGCCCTGATGGACCCGTTTGATGGCCAGTTGTACAGGGTGTACGCTGTGGTTCACCAGGCCGTGCTCTGCCCCAGCCTGTGTAAGCTCTACTGCGCAGTCTCAGCCTTCTTCCTCACAAAGTTCAAACCCACCAAGGTCAAGAAGACGTTGTGCTGCGAAGTATTCACGCCCAGTTTCAACGGAGACACTCAAGCAGAGTTGAGGAGAAGATTGCATGGACATGAGGAGTAGAGTCGCACACTTCGGGTGGAAAAAGTTGATGTAGGCTGCTACAGGGTGTTCAAAGCTTTCACTTCCTTCATGTCAGGAAAGTCTGCTTAAACAAGAATGTGGTTGATACAGTTGTTGACCTTAAACATCACCTTGAGAATGACCGTCAAGGTCATTGCGAGATCGAATTGAGAATTTTAAATAAAACCGTATCTTGTTGACCCCAACGACGAAAAGAGACGAAAATTTTACTTTTTGAAATTACCATGGCCATTTGAAGCAGTTTGAAGGTGAACTTGCAAATTTTCAATGACTCACAGGTGAAAATGATGGAAAATTGTGTGTTCGGATGTTACCCTCACCTTGATCTATAAATATCCTTAGTCATTATCATAGTCAAGGTCATTCACGAACTTGCATTTTTTGAACTCCATTTAAAATTTTCATGTTGACTAAATGACCTCGGTCACTATTAGTTTGAACGTCATTTCCTGAGAGAGGATGGAGAGAATGCTGAAGCATTTTGAACACTCTTCATGATCATCAAGATTTCTCGCTTGAGGGTGGCAATAACGGTTTTCCCCTGGCCAATAAATTGAGGTGTCGGTGTAAAGATGAGAATCAGAGATTGTGTACATCATTGAGTATATATGTATATGCGTATACAATGGTGGATATATACGTCTCGATATTCACGTATACAATGTATATAATGAATACAATGTACAACTACTTGCATTCCCATATGTACTAGGAAGATAGAGAGAGGAGAAGAGGGCATCACTTGTGTAGGAAAAGTACTTTCTGACGTTTGCGAATAAACCTAACCTCACTTATGCTATTATATACATTATCATCATTGTATACATTTTGTTCATTGTATACGTAATGTATACATTGTATACGTAATGTATACATTGTATACGTAATGTATATATTATATACGTAATGTATACATTGTATACGTAATGTATACATTGTATACGTTATGTATACATTATATACGCATTGTATACATCGAGACGTAGACAATTAATGTATACTCGTAGACGCCCATCACTGATAAGAATGAGAAAAGAATCAAAATTCAATTATTTTGGGGAGAAAGATGTGCTTCATCCTGTGATTGATTCGCTTGTAACAGCAAAACATAAAAATGAAAATTGCTGGTTGAGAAACTCTTGTAGGGGCGCTTGTTAGTGCGAACAACATACTAAGTTTTTCAGTTCTCCTTTTCACTTTCCGTTTGTCTATCTCTAACAACTAGGTCCATACCGCACTGATGAGTGATATTAAGCACGAAACAACGTTGTATGCGATTGGCGATGGTTACAGTGACTGAAAGCAAACAGGTTCAGATCAGCCAAACTTTAAAGTTTGAATGCTTGGCCTACTGAGGATTTTTTTAATATTTGTGTTTCTTCAATGCTGGCCAAGGCGCGTTGCCCAAGTTAATCGGGCCCGTAGATCACGACTTCAATATCAGTTTCCGATAATAATGACGTAAATCCACAAAAGCTACATTTTCCTACTCAAAATAGGGTTACGCTGTATTCTAAATCAGCGTTCCAGTTTGCCCCCAGTGCACCGAGTTTCATTCTCTTGTAGCAAAATGAAAATCTTGCGTTGAGAAACATCATAGTCTCGATGTTTCAAAATCAAAAAAACATTAAAATAAGAGGGAGATTTCCAAAAAACCTTGCGTAATGTTGAACTTTGGACAATACCCGTTCTTAGGTGAATTTGGCAGAAATCTCATGAACTTGAAGTCAGTTTTTCACTCAGGCTGATGGGAATCTCGAAAACAGCTCGTCATGGACTGTTCATCATAAGACGTTTTTCGATATGTAGAATAGCTATTGGATAGACGACGCCCCTGGTCTTGTATTTTTGAGAATGTAATTTCTTTTCTATAAAAATCAATAAAGGCGGTTCACTATTATTATTATTTTCTGTCATACTGATTAGGAATAGCAATATATTCAGCAACAACATTCTCAGCGATGAGCTTAGCGTATCTTCTCATATAGTTTTGAGAAACCACGAATTAGTTTAATTTATCTATCACAAAAAATAACATAAGTTTCTGAAGAGAGGAGAAAAACTGAAGTTTTGGGACATATCTAAATGAGAATTCATTCTTAGAAGTAATACAAAAAGTAACTTTCTATATTTAAATAAAACCCAATTATTGGCTAAAAAACTCTCCTTAAAATGTCAGAGAGTGACTTCTGTGTCGAGCTGTTTGTTCGTGGTGCAAAAACTGGCACCTGCAATGTTTATTTTTTTATCTGAATTGCTTTTATATTTATTTATTTATTTATTTACTCATGTTTGGGTTGCAACAGAATGTGAATTCCAAAGACAGCACCCGCTGCTTACTATAGTGATAAATTAAAAGATACATAGATTACAAAATCCAGAAGATATGAAAATCTTTAACATAAGCATACTATATGAGAATAAACAATACTATGATATAGCAACTACTATAAAACGATATTAATTTAATTTTTTTTTTAAATTAGCATGTATCAGTTACACTATTCCATGAATTGCACTAGTCACCAAAAGACACAAACACGGAGAACGTTACTAGACAGCTTTGATAATAAAACATATAAAATACTATATAAAAGTATTAATGGTTGACAGCAGTATCACAGCAAACAAACAGTTAGATAGTATAATACTATCCTTTGTAAGCTGCCTCCTTCAACCACAAAAATGTCCACATTTATAGAGGTATCGTTAAACACCCTCTGGGCCCTAATTACAGGTGAGTTGACTCCTAAATTCGTTCTACAGAAGGGAATCCTGAAAAACTTGGAATGGCGGTATCTGGCACATTAACATTTATTTTTGAAAGCAAATAGGGACAGTCAAAATTGTTGAATATTTTGTATATAAGACATACGTCGAACATCATTCTTCTACTTTTTAAGGTCATGATATTGAAATGTCTAATATGATCATAGTTTCCGTCACGTACCGCATTGCCGATTTTAAAACTGAATCTCTTCAGGAATCTATTTTGTACACTTTCAATTCGATTTATGTATGTAATTCCAGGATAATATTTACACAAAAAGGATATAGATACTTCCAGTATCTTGTAGTGTACTTAAAACAAAGCGTGAAATGTTTCTGAAAGTCTCGCAAAATGTTTCTACTAATTTGACGTTCTGCACCTGTTTTAGTCACGTTAAAAACTCTTTGAAATGTTAATTGCTGTTTGTTACGCACAGGATTTAGATCAGTAGAAAGAGTCAGATCCACCCCGTTTCAGAGATATGATACTAAAGGCATGTTTATATATTCTCTTTGTCGGATTGAAACTGAGCTGCTTGCCATTTCAAAATTTACTGTCACAACATAAGTAACTTTAAACGATGACAGGACAACTAGGATTTTATATTGAACTCACATGTAAAAGGAACCTATATCTAATCCAAATCAAATCCAGGTATCTACATCTACCTACCTAAGTCATTGGGATACATACCTGCTAAATTCTCATATAAATAATTTGATGAATTGTTACCCATTTGTGTCAAAACCATAATTAGATAGGTTTCTTCGGGGTGGTATTTTCAGGGTATTGACAAAGAATTTAATTTTCTGTGACTAATCCTAGGTATTAGTATTTGTGAAGTTACCTACATATTTTACTTACGAAATGATACCTAGTGTCGAAGATAATTATAGCAGGTATAAATTATGTTTGATACGAGGGGCACGCTGTATATTTTGAGATGTGCAATAACTATATTAGTCGCCGCATTCAGTTCATTTGCAAGCATCTTACAGTGCACGTGGTGTAAGCAAATTTAAGACGAAACATGGAGTTGTCTCGAGGGAGTTATCGCGCTATGATTTACTCTGACTTTAAATTCGGCTTAACTGAACATCAATGTATCGAACGGTGACAACAGGCATTTGGTAATGAAGTTGCGTGCAATCCACGACAATGCCTCTAGCCAAACTGCCCAACTAACTGTAGACTTTTTATGGCAGCGCCACATCAAGATGCTGGAACATCCGCTTCATTCGCCAGATTTGGCGATGTGTGACTTCTGGCTCTTCAACAATTTGAAAAAAAAATCTGTGTGGCCGAAGAGGAAATCGAACAAGCAATTAATCAGTTTGTTGAAGGCATTCCAAAAACTGACTAGTTAGAAGCATTTCGTTTGTGAAAGGTCAGGTGCATTGATGCTGGTGGAGCATACTTTGAACATAAATAAACTAGTTTTCGAAAAATAGTTCTTAGTTTTCTTGTATCTCAAAATATATAGCGCGGCCCTCGTATCATGGAGTAAAGATAGAAGGCACTCAAAGATTGTGAGGAAAAATGATATTATATTTTTGATAAATAAATTCTACGCCTGTTAGTTACTCAAGGACTTGGTCTAATCTGATGATTAGTTACTCTCTCTAATTTTGAAATAGATATCGTGGCACGGACTGAGAAGGATCTATAAACCATTTCATAACAATGTCGCTGTCAAATAAGAGTATTATGATCCTCTTAAGATAACACGAGGATATTTAAAGAATTTAAAGAAAAATATGGATTACAAGCCCTACCAATTTTCTAATAGAGTGAGGCTTTCTGAGCAAAGATATCAGGCGGCACCTATATTTATTTATTTATTTATTTATTTATTTATTTATTTATTTATTTATTTATTTATTTATTTATTTATTTATTTATTTATTTATTTATTTCCAACAGGTGAAACCCAATTACAGGAAATGCTGGAAAAAATAACAATTAAAGAGACATGGTTCTTGGACTTAAATCTATAGTATCACACATTCTAAATAAGATTGAATGATCTATAGCAGTTAATAATCGATGCACAACTGTCACTGTAAATATCACACGATTCACTAACACTGTTCATGACGCAGCACATGAGATTAATTGACGATTTTGTCATAACATTTGTACGGCCAGCTTGACAATAGAATGCCGTTTGTTGTCGACTCCCTAGCCTTGGAACGCGGAAACATATTTTTTCAAGTAAATTTTGACAGTCAATTTTATTGTGAATACAAAAACGACAAAGCAAATATGTTTCGTCTTGTTGACAGTGAATCCAAATTGAAAAACTCTAATAGGGCACTATGGTCGCAACCTCTTTCTGAATAAGAACCTGTGCATTTAAGGTGAAAATACTTTAAAGCTTTACGTTGAATGGCCTCAAGGATCACGACAGAATTTTGGTATATAGGAGACCAGATCAGAGTCGCATACTCCAACTTGCTCCTGACAAAAGTAAAAAATAAAGGCATTAATGTATCAACATTGGAGAGACCCTTCCAGTTTCTGATACAGAAACCAAGTAGTCGAGTGGCAGCCGACGAGATATTGAGTATATGCTCAGTAAACGTTAGCTTGGTATCAAAAGTGACTCCAAGGTCTCTATAAGAGGTGCATCTGTCTATAACCTGACCATTGATGTTATAATTATCATAAATTAAATAGCTAACCTTTCTTGTATAAGTCATAACTTTACATTTCGAAACATTCAGACTGAGACAATTTCGTGAACACCATGACGAAATTAGAGCTAAGTCATCTTGCAACATGACGCAATCCTCGACTGTCTTGACTGACGTGCAGATTTTAAGGTCATCAGCGAAAAACAAATGGAAACACTTCAGTTCAAAAGACAAG